GCCTAAAAGGAGACAAAATATGTTATTGAAGTGGCCATTAAAGAAAACAGGAAGTATTGTCCTTAGGATTAGAGATTAGAGAGGAGTGTAAATCATGATTATTCTTTTGGTTTATATTTCATTAATAAATTGTTACCTGTCATAGCAATGTAATGAAATCAACTACAGATCCTCTTAAATCTATCTGTTTATCTAAATGTCCACATTTAATCATGGCCATCAAAAGATTCAATACATTGAGAGAATACTAGTACTTTAAAAATCATGTATCTAGGGCTTCCCCTGGTGGCGCAGCGGTTGAGTGCTGGATTGACCACTGCCCGCGGTCTCTGCAGTGCCAGTTTGATCCCTGGCCATCGGCGAGGGTCCCACAAAAAAAAAAAAAAATCATGTATCTAAAAATGGTGTTAACCAGTGAAAATGGCACATATTAAAAAAACTAGCAACAACAAATGCTGGCGAGGGTGTGGAGAAAAAGGAACTCTTCTGCACTGTTGGTGGGAGTGCAAACTGGTCCAACCAATGTGGAAAGCTGTGTGGAGATTTCTGGACCTACTAAACATAGAGCTTCCATATGATCCAGCAATTCCACTCCTAGGTATTTACCCAAAGGACACAGAAACATCAATTCCAAAGAACACCTGCACCCCTATGTTTATAGCAGCACTGTTTACAATAGCTAAGCTTTGGAAACAACCCAAATGCCCAAAAATAGATGACTGGATCAAGAAGATGTGGTACATATATACCATGGAATATTACTCAGCATTCAAAAAAGATAAACACATGCAATTTGCAGCAACATGGATGGCGCTGGAAGGGATCATGCTCAGCGAAATAAGCCAAAAAGAAAAAGAAAAATACCGGATGGTCTCACTCATAGCAGGAATCTAGAAAACTTAAATAAGGGACCAGGAAAATGAATAACTTAAGAAAGTGAAAATCAAAATCAACAAAAAACTATGAACCAGAGACACTTTTTTGGGGGGCGGGGGCGGGAGGGGAGGGATTGGGGTCAGAATTGGGGGGCTGAAATTGTATGGGGAATATAACAATAAAATTTAAAAAAAAAATAAAAATGGTGTTAAAATTGACGCTTTTTTCCCTGACATAAATTGACTGTGTGTTTCAGTGTATGGTATAACATTTGCTCTGGGAGGTTGCTCTGTTTGCTAATCCATATTGGAATTTTAAGTTATTTTTCATTTCTGTTCTCCAAATAGCATGATATTCTATGCTATTACATAGTTTGATTTCTTTAAATAAATAAATAAAAATGAAAAGCAGGTTTCCATGATCTGGTTAAAGGATAATTTCAATAATGCTTGTCTCCACCTGTTTCATCTTTAGAACTCTTCCTTTGCCCTGATGTTATTTTTCACTTCCCTTGATTCCATTTGAAACCTGCATGCAGTAGCTTTTTAGAAGCCTGCTTTTCCACCCTGCTTAGATATCTTTTTAAATAATGAAGCTAAACTGGCTTGCTTGTATCTGCTTTAGTCTTATTGTAAGTCTCTTTCAGCTTCTTCATTCCTTGAACTTTTACTTTTGTTTCCTGGGGAAACCAACCTGATTATTTCTAACCTTTCGCAGAATAGTATTTGTGTTTCATGGTTTCCATTCTTCTCCTTTAGTATTAAACAAGTCCAAACAGATTTCTTAAAAATCTGCTTTACTTACCTGATATGATTGTTGCTTTTATCATGTGCCATTTATTAAGCAGGAAGAAGTGCTGTAAGTTTGAGATATTTTGCTAATGGATTTTCAAGTCACTAAACAAAAGATGTACTTCAAATTTAGCATTTTTTGCTATCCACATATTCGAATCATGGATCTACCATTTATTCACTAACTGAAGAAACAAACATTGGAATTAAATACCTGTGGGTTTCAGTACTACTATCAGCCGCTTATTAGTTGTGTGATATTGGGCAAGTGATTTTAAAATTTCAGTATCTCAGTCTCCTCATCAGCAAAATGTTGGCAGAATCATAGGCTGAGGATTAAATGAATTAAATATAAAACTCTTGGCATTTTATTTTGCACTTAAGAGCGTAATGAAGTTTTGACTACTGTAACTACTAATATATTTTTCCCTTAATCAATCTATCACTTGTCTAATATGAAACACTTCAATATTTATTTGTTAGACTTATCATAATGACTATAAAGTTATATATATTTGTATGATGCTATGGTTTGTCCTTAGTAAATGTTTATTCTCTTCCTGTCTTATTAATGAGAATGTTCAGCTAATTTCTTGTCATATTTTTACAGACATCCACTTCAATAGAGCTTCCTATGGGCATTTCATAAAATGTAGGATGCTTTTTAAAAACACAGATTTCCCATTTCTGCATCATACCAACTGAATCAGAATCTCAGGGTGGAGGCTTTTGCATCTCAGCTTCTCAGGGGAGTTTGATGCATTTCAAGAAATAGAACTTTTCTAAGGCTGGGTGAATATAAATAAAATATAAAGAGAGAATATATAAATGTGTATAATGTAGCAGAGTAAATCATACACAAATGAAATAATTAGCAGGAGAAGGCAAGAAAGTACTAAATATATAGATTACAAAATTTTAATGAAATGCCATCTCTAGTATCTATGACCTATTGAGGAACAATAACAATAAGAAAATAAATGACTTCATTGATATTTTCTAATAATTTAACAGTGTCAAGTAAAATAGTCACCTATTATATACATACTCCTTTTTATAAGTAATATGAATTCAAGTATGGAATGAATAATGGGGCATTTCATTTACCAAAGTTTGTCTATGTATTTATCTAATCTATCTCTAATTCTCATTGCCTGTCATCATTATCTATTTAAATAATTGTTTGGTTATGACTCGAAAGTTTTCCATAAGGAGACGGTTATTTTCAATTTTGGCTTTTAGCACTCATCAGTCACGTCAGCTTATATTCCCTGACAAATATTCTCTTTAAAATGCCTTTTCTGGGGGCCTCCCTGGTGGTGCAGGCGGTTGAGCACCTCGCTGTGAAGCTGTCTGCAGCCTCCACAGCGCTGAATTGATTCCCAAGTGGCCAGGGAGAATCCCACGTGACGAGGCAGACACCTCCTGCCTTGCCCACTGCTTCCCTCAGCAGTGCATTCGGTCCGTCTGCCTGTTCTGCTCCCTGCCCGTGACTCTGGCCTGTACCCCAGCTCTTGTATAAATAAAAAAATAAAAATAAATTTAAAAAAAGTGCCTTTTCTGGGCCTCCCCTGGTGGCGCAGCAGTTGAGCACGCTGGCCTGCGAAGCTGCCCACAGCCTCTGCAGCGCCAGTTAGATCCCCGGCCACCGGCAAGGGCCCCATATGGCGCGCAGACCTCTCCTGCCACGCCTGTTGCTCCCCTTAGCAGTGTATTTTGTCAGTCTGCCTGTTCTGTTCCCCGCTCTGTCTCTGGTGAATTCTCTCACCCTCCCGCACTTCTGACTGTACCCAGTGCTTGTATAAATAAATAAATAAATCTTTAAAAAAAAAAAAGATGAAATACTTGTTTAGAAAAAATAAAATGCCTTTTCTCTGTACTCTTACACATTAATTTTATAAATATACAATAAGCTCAAATTGGCTATATGTTTATGTTCTTATGCTGGGTATTTATGCAGAGCCCCTGGTTCTTAACAACCAGTGCAAATATATATTTCTTACATAGCAAATGGCCAAGTTTAGAATTAGCAATTCATGAATTCTCCATATGTGCATAAGTATTATAATTATCATAAGTTGTCACAATTTCACGCTTTTGGGTAGTAAAAAAGTGTGTTGCATTACGAATGGTTAATACATTTTTTAAATTAAAATAATTTGAGAAGAATGTAGATTTATTGTAAGGATATTGGAGTTTCAGTTTTACTACATATCTATAGAATATCCAATAATTGAGCTTGCTTTGACCTCTGTAAAGTGACTATGGTCTAACAGTTACGATTGCAATCAGAGGGTATGGATTATCTATCTTGGCTTTGGAAGCCAAGGCTTTGAAGTGGTACAATATCACTGTTACTTCCACTTCATTCTAAATTACCTAGTAACTATGTGATTTGGGGGTGAAACTTTTTCTTAATTTAATAAAAGTACAAAATAGTAGATGCCTAAAATGTGCCCAGAACTTTCTTAAGTGCCTTACTGGTTATGTCATTTAATCCTCATTGTAACTATAGTGTCATCATCCCCCAATTCTATAGAAATGAGCATTGAGACTCGAATTGTGCATTTTTCTCTGGGTCAGAAAGTGAACTCTGTGTCACCTGCTTCCAAGACCTGTGGAATCAATCACCTTTAAAATTCATGCCTCTCAAAATTAATGCAATGAATAATATACATATTATATTGGTTTTTCTTTAAAACTTTACAATTCATGATGTAAATGTTAGTTATTGCTAAAAGGGCAGGTAAATAGGCCCATAATTTTTTGCATTTCAGAAGAGGGAAACTTAAAGGATGCATCTGCTCGAATAACCAGCCATTTTAAAACTTAAAAGCTTTAATATAGTCTTTTATTTAGCTCATGATTCCGTGGGTCAGTGCATTTGGACCAGATTCAGCTGGACAGTTTTTGACACATGCTTAGGAGTAAGGCAGTTCTGCTTCTGGGGAGTAACTGGCTCTCATCTAGGATGAGATGTTTGTTGAGGATAGTACTTTCTTTCTTTTAAATCCTTGCTCTATTATGTTCTCTGAGTTGTTTTCAAATACTATTTCTTTTTGTATCAAAGGTGAATGTAAAAGAGATAGAATGGGCAAATAAGGTTCATTCTCTTAACACAGAGGTAGAGTTCTAAGAAAGAGAGACACAGAAACATGCAAGACCTTTGGAAGCCAAGGCTTTGAACTGGTAAAATGTCACTGTCTCTTCTACTTCATTCTATTAGCCAATGGAACCAAAGGAAGTTAAAAGCTGCCACACATTTAAAGACTGGAGAAAGTTTTTTTTTTTTTAAAGATTTATTTATTTATGAATACAAGAACTGGGGTGCAGGCCAGAGGTGTGGGGGTGGGTGGTGGTGGTGGTGGTGGTGGTGAAAGGATTTACTAGAGACAGAGTGGGGAGCAGAACAGGCAGACTGACTGAAATACACTGCTGAGGGGAGCAGAGGCCAGATAGGAGAGGTCTGCTGTGCCATGTGGGTCACCTTCCTGGCCTGGGATCAAACTCATGCTCCAGTGGCTGCTGATAGCTTTATAGTGCTGAGACTTAATTCCTTGCACCACAAGGGAGGCCCCTGGAGAAACAGTCTTGATGGCAGCAGCTGTAGTCACGTTTAAAAGGAAGTGCTTATAGCAATGATGAGTAGTCACAGCCATTTTTTACATTTACTACAGAGGAGTTTTGTTTATGAATATGTTGTTTTTGGAGGGTGAATAATATTTGAAAAACCCTTATACTGGACTTTTAAAAACCAAGTTAATTTGTTCAAATGTTAAACTTTTGCAAGTATGTCATTTAGACAGTCACAATGTGGCTTTGTGAGATCAAGCCCCATTTCTGGTGATGATGTAGTGCTCAGTTTCTGTAGCTTTCTGTGTTGCTAACTCAAGGATATAAAGAAGGCAACATTTCAGCTGCTTCTCTGTAAGGGGTAATGTCCATAAGGTCTTTCAAATCTTTGCTCCGCGCAGACCAACAAAGGAAACCACAACTGTTTGTTCCGCCTTAGTTTTCCATTGCCATCTTTCAAAGATTTGCTTTCTTTTCACTTTTATCTCTCTTTTGCAGCAGGATCAGTGGAGTTTGTTAGCTGGAGGGGTTTTCTGTTCTCTCCTGTCTTATGTAATGAGCCTGGATATATGTCTTAGGATCATCTCCTCTTCTATTGACCAGGAAAAAAAATAAAAGAAACTATTTTATTCATTGCTCTGCTTATCAATTCCCCATTATATGCACACCTCATCCTTTCATCTCCCACATTCTTATTTTCAAATGTATCTGACATGTTTTATAATTTCACTCTAATCCTTTGTGAATCACAAGAAAAGTCTGAACTCTTTTAAAAGTGATCTTTTTATCAATGTGATTATTTCTAGATAACTTATGTAACCTTAGTCTCAAATTGATTCATTGGGTCTTTGCTTTCTCTTCTCTCTCCCTATGAATCCTTTGCACCATTCTATTCCCTTTTTGGTTTCTTATCATCCCTCATAACACAAATTTAATATTATCAAACTAAAGGTTTTCATTATTGATTCCTGCTTTTGGTATGGGTTATCTTTCTAGAAATCTTGTAAGTTAACTATGAACACAGTAAGAGCACAGTATATATTTACTATTATTAATGCATCTGCGAATACATGTATAATTGCTAATTTATTTTAAAGCAAACCACATGCCTTTTTTTCCCCTATTGAATTTACCGTATGAATTAATATAAGGGATCATCTACATAATATGAGATTACATGTTAGAATGTGAATATATTTTTTCTTTGCAATTTTTCTGGCAATTGGAATTTACTATCACTGTTATTTTTAGAAATGTCTTGTGACTGATAATGGTGCAAAACCAGAAATACTTTCCTTAGTGTTTAAGCTTTTTACTTTGTGTGTATGTATTTTAGAAAATCAAATTTATGTTTTCACAAAGTTCACATAGGTCTTTAGATTACTATGTATACACATGTACTCTTGTGGTATAAGTAAGTTTCTTATAAATGCATATGTTTGATATTTTCTTGTAGTAGTGTCTTTGACATCAGTGACCATCCAAAGACCTTTTAGTTCTTTACTTTCTTTAATTTATTTACTGTCATAAAAGATAGGTGTTTTCTTTAGAGAACTGTTTCTATTTAGCTGCCCCCAACTATCATTCCTCTATATTGCTAAACCTTTCTCAGTAACTCTTGTCCTTAGTGTTGATATCAAAATCTGTTTTTCAAAGATACCTCCACCTCCTAGTATTTTATCCACTCAGTAAACTGCAGCCCTAACAACATCCTCCTCGCCCCCCAACCCCCCAACTGATACAGAAACATGCTATTTGGTGCAAAGGTCTGGTTTGGGTTAAATTATGTTCCACTGCACCCGACCCCTCAAAAAAAGTTGAGATGGTGAGTTTTAACTTCCAGTACCTCAGAATGTGACTTCATTTGGAGACAGCATCTTTTCAGAGGTGATCAATTTAAAATGAAGTCATCAGGGTGAGCTCTAATCCAATATGACTAGTGTTCTTGTAAGCATATAAGGGAAAAAGCATATAAGGGAAAATTTGGACACAGGCAGGCATGCGTGGAGGGAAAATGACATAAAAAAAGACAGGAGAAGACCTCCATCTGCAAGCCAGGGAGAAAAACTTGGAGTAGGGTCATTCCCCCCAGCCCTCTGAAGAAGTCAATCCTGACCACACCTGAATTTTACACTTCCAGCCTCCAGAACTGTGAGATAATAAACTTCTGCTGTTCATACAATCCAGTTTGTGGTGCTTCGTTGCAGCAGTGCTAGACAATGTCTACAAGGCCCATTACAAATTTGAGAAAGGGAGACAATGGCTAATTAGATAATTGCTTTGGCACTGGAGTTCTGTAGTTCATCTCTTTTGGGTCTGATAAAGAAACCTGAATTTTCACTTGCTAGAGCATTGTATTCCTGGAATAAACTTTTTAAAACTTGTTTTATATAACAATGATGTGGTGACTGGAGACCTACATTTGACTGGAAAGAGCCAGCCAGAGCCATGTATAAGACACGAGAAACAAGACTCACTTGTCACCTGTAAGTAGACCCCTCTCTCCCATCAGCTGTCATTAAGGGGGGAAAAAAAAATGCAATCCCCTTGGATTCTCTCACTTGTTGGGAGGGGTGGGGCAGCATTGACAGAAAGGGTGTGGGGTGTAAATAAGGCAGGCAGAAGCTTTAGAGCTCCACGAAAGAAAAATATGTGAACCTGGTTGGTACAACAGAGCTTCCCAGACCCACCCACCCACCCTTTCCAGAGCCCTGTGTTCTGGCGGCGGTGGTTGGCAGCGGCGAGTGGAGGTGAAGGGACAGCTCCAGCAGCCTCTGCCCGGGGGGCAGAAACAAAACCTGCAGGTCATAATCCGAGCAGGTGACTTCACCTTCAAGTGGGTGAGCTCTCCTGACCTCGGACGACCTCCGCTCCAGTGAAGGCCAAGCCGATCTGCGGGCTCCCGGCGGGGTCGCGGAGCGCCGGCTGGACCCGCCCCGAGCTCCATGGTTCGCCCAGCCCTGCGCGATGGTGACTCTGGGCGCGGAGGTGGGCGCGGGGCGAGCCCGCGGCTCGCAGAATGAAGGCGGGGAGCTCAGCTGCCCGCCGGCGCGGGTTGTCTCCGCGACCCCAGCTCCTGCAGAAGCGGCCCAGCCCCCCGAACCCCGGAAAACGCCAACAAGTAGTTTCTCCTTGGAGCAGGGCGGCTCGGCGGGGTGTCGGGACTCAGCCTGGCTGCTCGGAGAACCTCGTCCACTCGGAAACCAAAGCAGAACCACTTTTCTCTCGGTCTCGTTAAGGTATTTGGGGGTGGAGGGAATAGGGGGTGATTCCCGGGAAAGGCTTGCTGACTCTGCAGGCCGGTGTCCCCGACTCCGTCTCCATTCCGCAACGGGAAGGTAGAGGTGAAGCCCCGGGGAGCGGCGGCTGGTGGAAACCCGGACGCCGTCAGCCAGGATTTCCAGTTCAGGGGTTCAGGGGGGTGTGCCTTCGGCAGCCCCCCCCCCAGGGCCTCGCCCCTCCTCGAAAGCAACCCCCCACCCTCTACTCGCAAGGCGTTTGTTTTTCTCGGGAAGATGAGCTGAACGGCTCACTTCTCGTCTCAGAAATGGATTCTTAGTTAGCCCTTTGCTTTCCCAAGTAGTAATAATATTAACAACAGCGACAATGTGAAAAGGAAATTGGATCAGGAAATTAGTCAGAGGTCTCCTTGGTGAAAGGCAGCCGCAGGGGAATTTTTTTGCTCTGACTTCTGCTTCAGTCCTTTCGCCCGGCGCGAGAGGTGACCCGAGAACAGGTCGCGCAAAGGGCACCCCCTGGGCTCCCGCAGGCGGCGAGTCTCCAGAGTTGGCCGAGGGCAGGCGCGCCATGCTGCTGCCGGCGAGTCGGGGGGCCTCGCGCCCCACACCACCAAGTTGCCTCCCAGGGGGTAACTCCCTGTCTAAGGGATCTGCAGCCAGGTTAGGGGAGGGGGACAGAGGGGGAGAGCCTGGGCCCGGGGAGTGGGCGGAGGAGGGCTTAGCAGGGAGAGTCTAGGGGTTTGGGAAGAGTTTGGGGGTCGGGGCTGGCTGCAGGTTAAACTCCAGAGAGCACTGCGCTGGGGAGTATGAAGGGTGAAAGCTGGAGAGGTCAGAGCCCGGGGAGGTCGGGCGTGAGGCAGGGGGGAAAGGTGTTTGGAAGGTCAAGGAAGACTCGGACTGCAATCTCTGGAGTGCCCTGGAAACCTGGGGATGATGCGATGCTTGAGGAGGGGGACAGGGCTGGGCGCTGCTGTCCCCCTGGGAGGGTCGTGTGTCCCTGGTCCGTCTGCCAGCCCAGCCTCTGGGGCCGCCTGGCTTGGGATTGGGGGGGTGGGGGTCACGGGGCGACCGTGACAGCCGAGATCTTTAACTTGGCGCTGTGTTCGCTCCCCCTAGTCATGTCTGAGCCACAGAGATGGGCAAGATCGAGAGCAACGAGAGGGTGATCCTCAATGTTGGGGGCACCCGGCACGAAACCTACCGCAGCACCCTCAGGACCCTGCCCGGGACGCGCCTGGCCCTCCTCGCCGCCTCCGAGCCCCAGGGCGACTGCCTGACCTCGTCGCCCCCACTCTCCCCGCTGCCGCGACCGCCCCCGAGGTCCCCTGGCCCCGGCGGCTGCTTCGAGGGCGGCGCGGGCAACTGCAGCCCCCGCGGCGGGGGCAGTGACCACCTCGGGGGCGGCCGCGAGTTCTTCTTCGACCGGCACCCGGGCGTCTTCGCCTATGTGCTCAACTACTACCGCACCGGCAAGCTGCACTGCCCCGCCGACGTGTGCGGGCCGCTCTTCGAGGAGGAGCTGGCCTTCTGGGGCATCGACGAGACGGACGTGGAGCCCTGCTGCTGGATGACCTACCGGCAGCACCGCGACGCCGAGGAGGCGCTGGACATCTTCGAGACCCCCGATCTCATCGGCGGCGACCCTGGCGACGACGAAGACCTGGCGGCCAAGAGGTTGGGCATCGAGGACGCCGCAGGCCTAGGGGGCCCCGACGGGAAGTCTGACCGCTGGAGGAGGCTGCAGCCCCGCATGTGGGCCCTCTTCGAGGACCCCTACTCGTCCAGAGCCGCCAGGGTAAGGCCAGGGGTGCCCCCTTCCGCGCGTTCCTCCAGCTCTCTACCCCTTCCCAACTTTGTCTTTTCAGTCAAGGGCCTCTGGGACTGGGCTTGGGAGAAAGGAGAGCAGGGACCCCCTGACAGTGAGATTAGAGGGCCATCTGGTGCAAGGAAAACAGAGGGATCCTGCCCCACCCCAGGCCCCCTCCCCAAGAATTCCCCACCCACCCCACCAACTTTTATTCTTTCCTCAACTCAAACTGAGATTTACTTTAGCAGATGGGACCTGGGGGACAAATGTTCACTGCTCTGTGCAAGTCTGTCCAGAATCTCGTCTGGATTCCGGTGTCATGCTTCCTCTGATTTTGGTTTTTCTCCCTCTGACTCTTTTGTTGCAACTTTTCCTTCAGCTCGCATGTCTCTTCCAGCCTGTGGTCATCACGAGTTGACATTTTCAGTGAGGCCTGACACTGTTCGCCTCTGACTCATCCAGAGCAGTGACTTTAATTAGGGGCTAATGTGAGGACAGAGGAAGGGGACATGGAATGTGTGTTGTGACTGGGGGAGGGGTGCTTGTGGAGGGTTTGCAGCAGGGTCACTTTGTGAAGGGAATCTTCTGAATGCTGTTTGGGTCTGTCTCCTTCCAAGGTAGAAGAGTGCTGAAATTTCTTGTTCCAGTGAGTGGCCCAGAAAGTTCACCTACACAGTGCATTTTGGAATCTGGTGCCTTTCTCTTTGGGCCATATTTATGTTTGTACAGGTTGAGTGAGAATTTCTAACTCTTGGTGATCCTAGCTTAGTCCAGGTCTTTCAATCTGGGAAATTTAGATCGCAGCAAATTATTGTTGTCCTCTAAATTGTGACCCCATGTTTGATTTTTCTTTTCACTTTCTAGCTTGAGTGACAACTTAAATTTAGTCCTTGATACTCCCAATTAATTCTTCAAATTTCCACAAAGGAACTCTAAAGTGACCAATAATGCTTTCTCCAGTTTAAAGAAAATAAAAGAAATGTAAATAACCAAAAATTATACAGCATAGTAATGCTTTTTAATTATATGTGAGGGCAAAGAACTGCATTTAGTTAGATATTTGCAACTGCATGTATCTAGTTTGTTTCTGACACCCCAAAAGATCCCCCTCTTGGCAGGATGGGAATTCTGCCAGTATTCATTTGTATTGTCTCCCTCTGCATGTAGAAGTCACTGCATCTGAGTTATTTCGCAGCTGTCTATATACTAACTTGTCAGAAGGTGTGCCTTTATACCACTTTGGAAGTCTGAGGATAGGTTTTGTTATTAGTGTGGAATAGAATATGATAAAGGAAATTTAAAGCATTGCTACTCTGTTGAATCTGATACTTAAAGACATACCTAAATTCTAGCAAGTCCAATCTCATTGAATATTGGACTAATAAGTTTCACACTGAAATCTTCCTTTTAAGATCATTCTGTGAATTCAACAGGAGTTGGCATTCAGGAAAAAAAAAAAGTGCACATGAAAATTTATTTAAATTAAATCACAGACGCATGACCACTACATCTATATTTTTTGGATTCCAGCTGAGTTCCACAGTGCTCTTTGTACTTGGTGGCTAAAAGGATAATCTGAATTTGTTTTTAGGCTTGTCATGTGATTTTTTTTCAGATCATGTGCTAAGTGAGAATATTTTATTATCTTTCTTTATGATAACATAAAACATTTTATTGTAGGCCAGCTTATATGGAAAAGACTTGAAGAAGGTGTTCAGTCTTATCGCTATGGAAATTTATTCTATTGATTATTATTTAAAGGGTAAGCCATTAATTTGAAAATAGATTTTTTTTTCCAAATCTTACTGAGAAATTCATTGTAGTGTTAGTAAAGATTTGACCTGCATCCATTTGAGATGAGGAAAGAACACACAGAGCCGAAAGATTAACACAAGGTCAAAGAGCTATTAGAAGCAGAGTCAGCTGAGAATCATGGATTTGGAAAATTTCTTTCAGTCATCTCACGAAGACCCTTTAATTTGAAGACTGCTGATGCTAAGTAATGGCCAAGGTCATACTGCAAGTTAATAGCAGAGTCAAAATTAGGCTGGAGGTCTCCTGATGTCCTCCCCAGGCCATTTCCACCACAACCACTGAGTACAACAGAGAGTTTGGATTTCGAAATCTCTGTAGATGTGTGTTGCTCTTGTGATTTAATGCAGCATAACACATTCACTGGAGTTCTAACTTTAAAAGGTCATCTATGACTTTTCAAATGTATGCATACCAGGACTTGGTTGATACAGTTTTTGCCCTGCACCACTTAACATTAAAGTAAAAATATGGGATTCAAATTAACTTGTAAAATGAGCCCTATTTAAACTTTCCATTTTTATTGACCAGTCAATATGTGATGTTTTTCTATCTTTCAGTTTGGCTAACATTTGTTTGTGGGACTTATCTTCAGGGAAACTCCTCTTCAAATTACTGGAGGTTGTCTGATAAAAGAATAATTATAAACCAGCTTTCTATGTAAATGTAATTTAACATTTTTATGTGCATCCTTCTAGTTCAGATACTATCCTGACTTAATGTTATCTGACTAGCTTAATAAATAAAATTACATTGGGAGGTCCAGGATGAAATTATATTTTGCATGGGCATCATTCTAAGGAAGCTTAAATCAATTATTAAGTGGCTTGCTTCAGCTCTAGTCTTGTTGCCACAATTCTCATTCTTCATAGAAGTATTTAGCTTTTATAAACTTTTTTCTTACTTTAGCTCATCTTTTACTGATATAGGTGAGATGAAAAATTTATTTGTCTAAATTCCTTTTTCATTTTGTTATACCTATGTCAGCATTTCTTCATCCTTTATGAATATTGAGAAGATTGACTCAGTTCTACTATAGATGTGTTTTATTTCTAACTCTATGATCCAAACTGTCAAATTGAAACAACAGTGATAGGAACTGGATAATTAATTGAATTTTACAACATCATTGTTTTGCCTTTTATTTTGGTTGGCGTTCCCTCTCCTTGGTTACTTTTTATTTATTTGTAAATACCTGTTTGAGAGCCTATACGTTGTTCTAGTCAACCAGGTGAATAAGTTTATGTTTCATACTTTTGAATTCTTATCTCTAAGGATAGCATTCAAAGAGAAATTCATAAAAATTCAAATATAAGTTGTCATGGATACCTGTTGTGGAGAAAATGAGCTCAGGAAAGAAAAGTAGAGATTACTCTATGGATGTCATTGATTAATATTTAGAAATAGCAAAAAGCAAGAAAAGCAAAAAGATAACAATGTCATGCACTGATTATTTCCAATTTAATAGCTAAGTTTTCAAAGGCTATAAAGCTCTTATGTGATTTCCTCTGAAGACATTATATCATAGGTAAGTGCACAGGTACCAAGCAAAAAATTTTGCTAAAACTTATAATTTTCTTTAGAAGTTAAAAAAGCATAAGGACAAAATACTGGAATCAAAATATTTTAAATAATGTGTTCCCAATAACCGAGAACAGATATTAGTTCTTCCATATCTTTTCATTTGCTTTTTTCTTGGGGGAATTGGGGTGAGCAGAGGAGGGAAGGTGATTGAATTCAGTTTTATTTTAGAGTGTGACTCTTCATTTGCATGTACATGTCTTTGATACCTCTAGCCTTTTTTCACCCTTTTACTTTCAAAGGGCATTTTGCAAAAGGAAACCTGCCATGGAACTACATTATGTTGTTTACTTTTTGATGGGGAATCCACATCACTTCATATAAGTTTTCCTGAACTTTATCTTCTAAATTACCATTATGTGCAGCTCAGCCTGAGTCAAACATGGATTGTGAGAGTCAATCCATATTTTCTTTTAATCTTAGAAACATTCACGTTATTGTTTTATCTCCACAGCATCACAAAAATACACTTTTTAAAATTATTAAGATTTGAATTTCAGTATCTAGAATTGATTTCGCAATTGTACATACTTAATTTACTATCTAGGGGCCATTTTTTCGCTCTTGCTCAAGCCATAAAACAAATAGGTAAGAAATGATCTAAGTAAATATTTACTAGTTTTAAGTGAAGATTAAATTGAAAAAAACTATACCTCACTAAAAAATACAATAAAAAACTCCATAAAAAAATTAAAAACAAATCTGATTTTATGTTTGGAGTTGTTTTTAATTTTGATGACTGAAGTTTTTGAATTCAGAAAATTAAATAATTAATTAAAAATTTAAGTCAATTTATAAAAAATTATAAAATACAAACAATTTGAGTCATGTATTGAGATTAAAGAAAGAAAATGCATTGATTCTTATTTTGATGCAGTTAAAAATTTAATGTCTAAATATATGTTATTCATAAGAGATTGTTGTCAACTACTAAAATTTTTAGAACATAGTATATTCAATGAATATTGATTATGCAATCACTAGATCAGAAATTATGTAAAGTACTGGGAGTGCATGGGGAAGACATGGTGCTTTTCTCTCAGGAAGTTCAGAATAAGTGTATAATAAATGTTTCCTAAATTAAGATAAATGATGAAAAAATAATAAACAAAATTCTAGGAACATTAGATACATTTTTCTCAAAAAAGTCACAGTGGAAATATTCACTGCACACACAGGAAAATGTTCCATTTAGAAATTATGATGTCAAGCTATTGTTAGTGGTTATTTTTTTATGAATGTGTTAGACTCTTAATCTTGAGTTTTCTATTTTTAAAGTGATTTATGGGCTCTTTGCAGTATTACTAGAGAATATGATGAAGATTTTACTTAAACATAGGAACTGAATTATTTGGACTGTAGTCAACTGTTTTCACTCCTTCTGTATTAACTGAAGGCCATGGCCATTTGTATGCATATAACAATGCAAATGCAAACTTTAACACCATGAAAAGAGTCTGCTGCAATTGTCTGGTGCGTATATATTTGCATCTAATTGTCTTGACCTTTTCCAGATCTCTAATTGAAAGTTCACAAATAAATTTAATTTTATGATTATAATCTGAGCATTGGGTAGGATTAGAGAATAACTAATT